TGTCTTGCAATAGAACGCCCATTTTGAATGATTCACATTTTATTATGCAACAACCACAAACCTCGCTTCGTTTTTATTGCCATTTCATCTGACTAAGTATTGCAGGGTTGTGAAGTGAGAGGAAAATGATGTAGAGTCTCACAAGCTTAAAAATGAAACAAGAGAGGCCTGCATTTACTTGTAATGTAAATCCCTTTATTGTCCCACAATGAGGAAATTTCCTCTCTGTCTATTGAACCCGGTACTTGCAACCTTCTCAGAGAACAAGCGCACCGCTCTAACCACTTGGCCAAAGCTACCCCATTTGCCTTACTTTTAGCCTGATGCCCCTAAATAAAATCCTGTTGCCTTCAGCAGTCACCTAATCAGTCAATGGATCTGATTTAGCCTCAGTTTAAACGAAGCTCTAGAGGCTTTCTTCTTCTAGCCTCATATTAAGCAGATTTTGTGTAATCTGACAGCCAAACATTTGGGAAAACAATCTTTTACTGAAAAGATCCATAGTTTTTTACAGAACAACCAGCATGAAGGTAGTAGAGAAATGTAAATCAGGTTGAGGTTAAACAATATCTAAACATCATGTGAAAATCAGAATTTAGAGGCTGCAGAAGGAAAACAGGGAAAAAGGCCCAAACTAACTCAGGAGGAGCTGCACAACCCTACAGCTCAGGTGGAAAGACCTGCTGCAGGGGAAGCTGTTAGTTTTTTAAAGAGGTTGGCAACAACTAGTTACTTTCACTCAGTTACTTTTACTAGTTCTTTCTTGGTTGAATAATTTTTACATATAATTCAGGTTTTTTTTGTTTTTGTTTTTTTTATCTGTTAGTCTACCTACCTCTGGTTGTGTAACAAATCTGGGCTTAATGGAAGACCCGGAAGCCATGTACAGTAGGAGACCCAGCAAACCGAGAAGGGAGCTGCTATCAGATGGCAATAATATTTAGACTTTTACCGTAAAAACCATAAACATGGTGGTAGCAATGTCATGCAGTAGAAATTATTTCTTTAAAGAAGCAATTTAGAGTGGATGGAAGAGTGGAGCTCAATACAGAGGCCAAAACACAGACCATTAGGAGATTCCCCACCAGAACATCCGTGACTGATGTTGAAGAAAGGTAAAGACGTGACTGGAAGTTCATTTTCCAGTGGAAAGACAAGTACAGATAATCAGAGCTATAGATTTTGCAAACCATGCAGTAAAATCAGAATAAAAAATGCACACTAAGGTCAGCAACCAGGCTTCACAAAGGAAATGAGTAAAACATTTTTACAAACCTTTTTCTTCAGGCATTGCAGCATGTATGGCCTAAAACCTGAGTGGCATTCAGGAACTGTAGGAGACCCTGGCTCCGCATAACTCTGACCGAGTGGAGCTAAATAGATGAGCAATAGTGCACTTATCACTCTCATCACACTTCACAATATTTGTTGGTCTACCTGATAAAATACCAGTAGAATATTTTATTTGTGTTGGGTTGTGGTTGTGATGAAGAGGAAAAATGTTCCCACTATTTTCTAGAGAATGTGGTTGTCGTGTGACAAAATGTGAAATACTAATACCAATACCTTAGAAATTGTATCATACCATAATAGCTGATTTGTAAAGCAACTATAAAGATAAATATTGAGCATTTTCTCTGAAATTAGGATAGTTTTACTAGATCTACTCGGTGGCTTCCTAACCTGGAGAAAATAAAGTAACTTACGCTCATGAGTGTCTCAAACAGACAGGCCGCTGTGAGGAACCACAGCACGCTGGCGGCCTCAGACATGGAGTCTGCAGGTATAAACCACAGGAGCACGTAGAACAGGATCGCAAACGGAGTGGAAATCACCAGCCTGTCAGATAAAAAGATGATGGTTCAGATCTGGGTTGGCAAACTCCTGCAACTTTCAGAGGCAATACTGCTTCAACAGATCTGAATCAAAGTTGCAGGATATTACTATACTTATATGAATATAACCCAGAAGGATAAATAGTGGAAAATGCATATGCAGATCTACCAGCTGACTAACCATGGGGTAAGTTTTCCAATGGGTGTCCAGGGGCTGCGGCTCACCAGATATCCAACCAGGGGGTCAGTCACAGCATCCCAGGCCCGACTGAGGAACAGGATCATAGATACAGAGGAGGCCTTCATCTGAGCAGATGTTAAAGACAAAGGAAGAGTCACGTTAAATGTCTCTTCACAGCCTCCTCTACAATTAATAGCACCTCGGTCAAAGGATGGATAACAATTCTTAGAAATATTTGGCTTTTATTTTTTTTAGGGCGAAATCTGATAGAGAGGAATTGTGCAGTTCTTTAAGAGTGTAAATGTCAGTGTTGATTTTTCTTACCTCCTTTGCAATCCTTGACATTTAGTGTGAAAACAAGATAGAATAATCTCCTAAATCCACCTTTTTTGTTAAAGTTTGACATATTAAACTTTAATTATTAAAATGTTTATTCTGATTCTTAGCGGAGATATGTGTAAGTTAGTTCAAGCAGATTTTTCTGCCCATCATCACTATGAAATTGTTGCAAAAGGTGCAAATGAGTAGAAAATATGTTATTCCAAAAGAGGAGCAGCAACATAAATAAACTCCTGCCAGGTTCTGATTGCAGCTTAGAGAGTGTGCCACAGAGACACATGAGCTAACTATCAGGTTACCGTAACTAGTTTCACCTTCACAACATCCAGCAAGAATATCTGCAGAGAAATCCCTATAGCTGCTGCTGTGGTCTGGTATGGGATTCCTCCTACAGCGAAACAGATCTTCCTCATCATAGGGATCCTTCCTGACCCCTGGAGAGCAGAGAGAGGACAGACAGGAGGTTCAGAGTTGGCTCTATCTAATCTTGGGATAATTTCAGAAAGAAAAGAAGAACATATTTCACCCTTCAGATCATAATATTCAGGTGTTTCAATCATTTCCATGGTCACAGGTGTGCAAACATGGATGAGACTTTAGTATGGAGGAACCTGACTGCCTTCAGTCAGACCTCTACCCTAGATAAGACTGTTAGCTTTAATAAGAACTGTGCCCCCTCAACTGTGCTGACCTCAATTTTTTGTTTTGGGAAAAATTTTTAGAAATCCTCATAGACAGAAATCTACCTTTGTTTAAATCTTGGAGATAAGACGGGTAAAGGAAGCAAATATGTCAGATTAGTTTTGATTTCTGACTGTGAATAAAATTGTCAATAATTTCTGTATTATGTCTGCAACTGGTGCATTAGTAAACCTGCCCGGTGTGAACTGAGGTCCACTGGTTAGTAGTATTGGGCAGGTATGTGAAAAGGGTTTAGCCTGTATAGCTGCAACTAAACAACTCTAAGAAATTCGATTTAAATGTATGGAAGAGGATTAGGGCCACTGAAAAAAAAAAAAAAAGTTAACGGATTTTTAAATTTTATTTCAGTTTAA